GCGCGGTCGCTCGCGATTCCAAGGAGGTGAGAGAGAGAGGCGTAGGTTTTAAGAAAAGAAAATCTTTATTTATTTTATAATGACAATAATAATAATAATATTATTATTATCATTTAAACTTTATCGTGCATTTTTGTCGAACACGCCACTGCAGTAAAATGCTTTATAGTGCATTTTTGTCGAACACGCCACTGCAGTAAAATGAGTATCTTCCTTAGGCAAAATCGACGTTCCAGACGCATTAGTGTGGTTCGTTTCGTTGTTTTGGGTCGTTTGAACCACTTTTTCAGCAATCGATTCCAAAATAATAATTTGCGCATTTTTAGTCCGCACACGAAATCGTGGTGCAACGAGCGCCTTTTCCAAGTGGAATCGACATTCCAGACTCACTCGCGTGGTCCGTTTCGTCGTCTGGGGCCATCTGAACGAGCTCGCTAAGTGATGATTGGGCCAATTTCGCATGCAGCGCGACGAATAATATTTTTCGACCTGATCGGAGTCGTCTGATGTGCCAAATGCTGATCGGCCTTCGCCCAAAGGAAAGCCAAAGTCTAGCAAAATGACCACGGCTACTTGCCCATTAACACGTGTCGGTGAGTCCAAAGTGGATGTCTCGTGCTACAGGAGTCAACGCGTGCATCAAGCAACGTTTCTTAACACTCAAACGAACATCCTACGCATGCGACATCAAAAAAATTGATGCAAGCAGATGTGTACTCTCAAACTGAGCCCATCTACTGAAGTGGTTGAATTGAGCCCACCTACCGAAGTCTTCAAACTAAGCTTACCTGTCCAAGTGGTTAAACCGAGCCCATTTGACGAAGTGGTCAAATTTAGCCCACATGTCGAAGTGATCGAACTGAGCCGACCTGTCAAAGTGGTCAAACCAGCCAAGAGAAAATCAACCACAAAAGAAGGCCGTCATTACTTTAGAGTACACATGTTCACAATATTTATGGTATTGTCTAACACCCAAGTCACAAAATTTTTATCAGGACAGCGTGGACAGATGTAGTACCATATGCAAAGCAATTTTATAATTGTTCGTCTTTCCTTATATATAAGAGATTAGGGGGCACGGATCGAGGGAGGAGCTCAACCTTTTTTTATGACTCGAACAAAAAAAATCATTTCTTCCTCCATGAAGATTCATGGAAGAGAATAAAAAGCATGAGCTCTAAAAACACATCTATTATCGTTTTCCACACGTTCCTCCCAAAACAAGATCTTTCCTATGAGACCCTACAAACACACACATACAAATATACATATGTGTATGTATGTATGTATGTATGTATATATATATATATATATGTATGTATATATATATATGTATGTATATACATACATGTATGTATATATATACATGTATGTATGTATATACATACATGTATGTATATATATACATGTATGTATGTATATACATACATGTATGTATGTATATACATACATGTATGTATGTATATACATACATGTATGTATATATACATACATATATATACATACATATATGTATGTATATACATACAGATGGAGTTCAATTGCATTGTGACGGTCAGAGTGTCATTTATCTGGCTAAAAATCAGGTTCATACAGATGAAAATACAGCTGATATGTTAACCAAGCCAGTTACTATCAACAAGTTCTTGCATTGCTTGAACTTGTTGAATGTTTGTATTTGCTAGACGACATGGTAGCCCAAACCATTTTGGTTTATGAAAAATTCAAGTTATCTTTCTTCTAAAGGGCTGAATATTATCTAAGGTGGAGAATTGTTAGATATGGCTCATCTACCATAAATTGGTAGAAGAGAGACGTCTTTTGGAGTGAAGAGATGTGCCTCTTGGAATGAAGATGTGTGTCTATTGAAGTGAAGAGATGTGTCTCTTGGAATGAGGAGGTGTGTCTCATAGAGTGAAGAGATGTGTCACTTGGAGTGAAAATGCGCGTCTCTTGGAATTAAGTGGGTTGGGGGAGCGGGGGTGATTTAGTAATTTTATCTGTGGGTTTTATCTATATATTTGTGTGCAACCCTATGGGTATGTACCAAACTTTCTTTATGGAATAGTGAAATCGTCGCTCTGCTCCCGAGGACGTAGGCTCATTTTCGAACACCATTAAATCTCTGTGTTTTCTTTTAGATTTGTGTCGATTCTTGATTTTCATTGCTCTAAATTTCTCAACACATTTAAATGTTGATCTTCACATAATCTAGAAGGCAATTTCCAACCAAACTAGCTTTTCAACAAATAAAGTTTTTCTTTTCTTTTAATGAATTCACAATATATATATATATATATATATATATATGAATATATATAACGTAATGTATTATGCTAATTTGAAGATAACTTGATATAATCACTTATACGCTTCCATCTCATATATACCATGAAAGTCGGGAACAGATTTGGCAGCTAAAATGCCCAAAAAAGGTTTTTTAATAAATATAAGTATAAGGTATTTAAATTTTAATATCATGATTTATGAAATATTAAATTATATTAGATAAATTTAAATTTATGATTTATTGGCATGGATAGTGGCTTTAGATAGATTGACTTCAAATTCATGTTCATAGTACATCAGGACTCCTAACTTAAAGTTATGTTCCGAGTCCACTAACATGCAGACTCGTGGAATTGACAGAAAATAAAAAAAAAGTTTTAGCACGGAGAAATATTTCTTTTGGTACATCAGGACTCTTAACTTAAAGTTATGTTCCGAATCCACTAACATGCAGACTCGTGGAACTGACAGAAAAAAAAAAAAGTTTTAGCACGGAGAAATATTTCTTTTGTGTTATTTCACATTATTTAGGTGTTATTGTGGTGGTAGTAATGTGTTATTGGGTTATTAGAAAATTCTCGATGTTATAATAACACAATAATACATCAAAATTATCATAATAACACATAAATAAGAAAGAGTAATATTTATCTCTGTGTTATCGGCCGAAGCACAGAAAAGGGGACGGTTTACGGTAATAATAGTAGCTCTACGTTACTGATGTAATATTTTTGCTCTTGGTCATGGTCTTGGTGGTTCTCTCAGCTTTCTTAGAATAATAGAAATAATAAGATGGGAAATGGAGAAGAAACTGATCGACAGAAAACTAGAAAACGCAATCGACCTTTCCCTGAAGACTCTTTTTCAGTTTTTCTCTGTGGGAATCCATTCTTTCTCTTCGCCTCCAAGTATACCTCCACAAATTTCCTTCTCTCTTTGTCTCTCTCTCTCGTTATTTCATTCCCTCTTTTCTTCCCGTTTGCTCCCTCCCTTTGATAATCTGGTCTTCCGAAGGCCATATTTGTTGGCTCCAGTTTGGTCCATTGCGTCAGCTTTGTTGGCTGAATGCGCGGGGCAGAATAGAAGATCGTTCTAAGGGGAACAACTTTGTGCGAGAATGGGTTGTTTCGGGTTCTTGAAGACAAGGACGAAGAGCAGGAAGGGGCACGGGAAGTCCGGATCCGAAGCCCTAACTGTTTCCACGGCGACAACTTCGTCTTCCACTTATGAAACTAGCCGGTCATCTGATTCGGCCGGCGGTAAGCAGACGAGCAAATCCTCAGCTTCGACTTCGTCGCAGCCGAGCATCGCGGCCATGTTCGAGGAGAAAAGTGGCGTTCTCCGCGTTTTCGAGCTAGCCGAGCTGCGAAGTGCTACTAATGATTTCAGTCAGACGCTTAAGATCGGAGAAGGAGGGTTTGGGAGCGTTTATAAAGGATTCATTAAGCCTTTGGATGAGAAGAGTGGTAGGATTACGGTGGCCGTGAAGGCTCTTAATCAGAGAAGTTTGCAGGTACTGTTCAAATTACTATTTAATTGAGCTGTTTTTTGTTGTTTATTTAACCCTTCTTTTTTAAAAGCACGTCGCGAAGTGGTTGACACTGGTCATTGTCTTCTTCGTGGAATAATTCAAATAAGTATTACATTTATATATTTTCTGCATGTGGAGTTGATGGGGATGGAATCGTTAACATAATCCGAAGGCTTACATTGAAACATGTGGGATTATATAAATTGGAAGCATCGAAGAAAACAACAAGAACCGAGTTGGGTCTAGAAAAACGAGAATTAGGAAGATTTGCTTATTTTAGTTTCTTAAATTTGGAAATCTTATGTTTTACTATTTCAGCATAGCCCGACTGAAATGTTTCAGTTTTACTACTAATTGAGGGCCATTTCTGAACAGATAAGATAGAATATTATCAACTTCTATGATAGCTTATTTGTTTAGGTAGTTAGCAATAGTTCTTTCAATACTTGTTGAAACTTTATTGATGTAGATTCAGAGTGAAGTGGAACTACATATCTGTAATTAATGGTAATTAGCATTTTTGTCAGTGATTGTAACGATGGCATTGTGGAAGATGAACAAGGCATTAGCTTCTTATCACTGAAAAGAATATACAACTTGAGTTAAAGTCAGTTTCGGGATATTCGATGTAGCCACGAGAATATTTTGTTCTACTTTTGTTCTCTCTACCTTGAAATGCTTCTAATGCTAGTATATTTAGACAATGCAATATAGCCCATCAGAGATGTTTGAATTTACTCGCTAATCAAGCAAATAAAATAAAATATGATCAATTTTCTGGATAAGTTGAGCTGTTTTGTGATCATTGGTACCTCTAGTGGTTCTCTCTTCCACATTGTTGTTGTTCATTATTATTTAGCTCTAATTATAATAGGATTTAAGAATACTAAATGTATAGTCACAGTTTTTGTTATCGATTTACGTCTTATTTCATTTTTAATGTATTGCACGAATAATATTTCTATTAGGGAGCTCTTTTGAGCATTAGTAAAGTGTTTACGTAGTTCCCCTAAATTTTGATCCTTGTCTAAGTATTGATGTGTTTTGAGCTAGCAATCTCATTGGTTCCTATTATGGAATCAGCCACAATTCTTGTTGTTGGCTTTTACTTTGATCGGTGAGTATTTCTAATTCAACTTCCATAATGTCATTGTTTGATGAAATAATAGAGGTTGAAATCCTTAAGCATCAGAAGAAGGTAGGAAGATGGAAAAATTATCCTATTTTTTTCTTGGAGGATTACGAAGTATAGGTATCAACGTCTAGAGTCATCATCCTCCGATGAAGCTGCCAGATACTGAAAAAAATGATGTTAAAGCTCTACGTAATAATCCAATGAGTGGTGCTATTGGGGAGGGATCTTTTCATCCTATGTTACACAAGAATCGTGAATTTTTGAAGTTGAAGAAGGATTTGGCTGACTTTGAAAAGTCCAGTGGATGGTATCATTGTACTCCAATTCGACTAAAATTAAGTTCACCATGGGAATCAAATTGCTCTTGTTTTTTTCAAGAATTATAAGTGATTGTAAAGAGGTTTGAATGAAATAAAACTATCCTATAGGAATAATTAAAAAAATTCGGGTCATAAAATTGTGCTGTATTTGATTAACTCAATTGTTTACAGTTGTATTATTCCATTTTGCTTGGGAGACTTGGTATACGTGATGATAGGTACTATCATGCCTTAGATCATGTGGGTATAACTCCATCTCTTGCAAATTGTTTTGTTTAATTCATCAACTCTTTTTATCATTTGAAGGCTTCAACTTATCATATAGTACATTATCACACAAGCATGATTTAAATTATTTCTATAAGGCATAACCATCTTAATAATTTGTTCAATCCTAACTTTAGAGGGTAAGCAATCATTTTTCGTGTGAGTATAAATTTCTCCAGCAGCTATCATGACAGGGTGAAGTCCATCCTTCAATATACACATTCTTTCATTCTTATCTAATATTTTTAACATTTTCCTCATCATATAATTATTTTAAATAAAATGTTTTGCATATTATTTCATGTAATAATCATTGTGATTTGAAATTGAAGTGTACTTGATAACATTCATATCAATACAAGTATTTCATACATTAGCAAAAGAAAGTCAAATTTGACCTTTGCTTATAGCAATTTCGTACTAATAAAAATATTATTCAATGATATAAAAAACCATAATAGTAATCACATTAAATTTAAAAGAAGGGAAATTATTATATCAATATAGAAATATAATTAATCACCTTATTTTAAAACTAGCTTCCCACATACTCTTTAAATATTTCTTCTTTTAGTATGATACCCATGTCAACAAATTTTGCATACATAAGCTTTTAAAATTTGCAAAAATTGTCAAACTCATTCTTTAGAATTCCCATCATCTCACATCTAAATTACATAACATCATATTTAATTATATAGGCTAAACATTTTAATTCTTCTATTTAA